GCGTATGAAATTTTTTCCACAGGAGCCAGAGAGGGGGTTGAGATCGTAGGAGACATAGGGCCATCTCTGCCCCTTTGGGAAGCTCCAAGAGCGGACGGTAGTGGAGGCGGGGTCCCTGAGGTGTATGTTCGGTGGAAAGCTAAGCTAAGGTCGGCCACCTGAGTGCAAAAGGCCCTGAGGTAGGGCAAGAGTTCCGGGGGAGCCCTATCAAGAGCAGTGTTTAGGTGGTGGTCAACGGCTTCCGCGGTACCTCCAAAGAAGATTTGGCCTATAGCACCACGTTCTAGAGCTTTGATGGTTCCAGAAACGAAGTGCTGCTGTATATTGGGTAGTGGGGACATCGGGCGTACTCCTCCCTTTTTCAGGCCCCTTCCAACGGGCGTGGGCGAAATCGGAGGTTTCCCTGGAGGAGTCTCCATGGAGGGAATTTTAGCTTGTCAAACGAGAGTAAGAGAGATTGAGCGTTTTAGAACAAAATTTTCAATCTACGAAAAAGGTTGTGGTTGTTTATAAATAAATATATTAGATAAGCGAAATTGTTTTCTTAGAATCTTTGGTAACCTAATACTCTAAATCAAGGTTGCAGTAGGATTAAAAGTACGCATGAATTCAGTAACACAGAATGAACATTGCACAAGAGCGTTATACGAATACTAATCAGTGAAGAAGGGCTATATTTGGTCCGGATCTACTACGCCTATTTCCTCTCATTCCCAAAAACAACCTTCAGTCTAAGTACAATCACATACCCCCTCTGCGTCCCAAAAAGTCCCATTTCATCCTCCGTCCTGAATACAACCTCCTCGGCATGGACATCCATAGAAACGTCATCTCCAGTATCGGAACTACTCGAAGCGGCCTTTTTTATATCATACCCCAATTTCGAATCTTTCTTTTCATAGGTTGGTGATGCAGGGATGTGTTTAGTAGGACTTTTTCTTCTTCCCCAAAATGAACGAGTAGAACTGCTTTCCGTCCGCGGGCTGCGCGAACTGGGTTCCGTTCGTGATGGCAAGTTCCTGATTTGTGGCACCGTAGAAGGAGGTTTTAAGTATCGTGCCAAACGTCTCGCCATATCTTCATCGTTCCAAAACCAGGTTTCCTGTGGTTCACTCGAGAATTCGTCATAAACTGGTTCATCTTCACTCCGCACTCGCACGACTCTGTCGTACTGATTTGGGTCTTTGAAGTCGTAATCTGTGGGTTTGGCGTTGTCGTCTGTCAGTCCGTTTGCGGGGACTAAAATCAAGGTTCCTTTCCGTAGACCCGAGTTGACGAAGTCGGAGAGGAAGATTTGGATTTGGGTGGTGAGGAGGGAGAGGATTTTCTCGTCTCGGGCGGAGGAGAGGAGGGATTTTTGGGATTCGAGGGCGCTTATGGTGGTACTGATGGTGCTTAGTTGTGATCTGATTTGGGTAGAGTAGTAGGTCGATGCTGAAATGCTTTCAGTATACGAAGGAGGAGCGGGTTCGTTTTCGTCATTATTGTATGAGGGAGGGATAGGCTGTTTGGAATCCATGGTTGGAATCTGTCCAGGAGAATACGAGAACTCGAGATCTAGACCGGTTTACTGGATTAAATCAAGTCTTGGTCCAGGACAGTCGTCTGTCGGTCGATAGTGATATGGAGCTGTGATTGTTTGATTCCAGCTAACAAATTTAGTTCATAAGACGATGAAATCATGAGAGAATAGAGACCGGTCACGAGTGAGAATGTCATCCAACAGACTAGATAGACTAATGTCGGTAGCTTGAAGAACTCGGCAGTTGTAAAAGCCCAAGGCAGTCCCCCCAAGTTCAGTACTGATAGAAACTTATTTCGTAGCAATCCAGGAGATCGACACCGAATGGTTCAGTTTGGCGATGATTCACAGAACCATTTTCTGACTTTGCTGAGGCTGAGGTCGTAAGATTCATCCAAGAGCAAAAGTGCCTCAAAACCAAAACTCTACCTGAGCTGTGAATATTCTGGAACTCGGATGGCAATGCAAATAGGCAGTAGGTCTTGAATAGGAGGTCGCAACAAGAGTGAGGTATGTCGAAGGACTTTCGGAAATAAGCATAAGCATATCTCGTGGCTTTGATGGGGCTGTGTAACCGAGAAACGTGTAGGTAGGTTATCAAAGAGTTTGACAAGATGCACATGCACGGTGTCCAACGAGGCAACTGACGGCAATAAAGATGGAGCAATGGGATGAATTAACGAGCGACTTGGTGGATTGAGTATGTCTGCCTTGTCGTGGCAAGATGACCTAACACCCTGTAGGTATGTTGCACTGAGTGGGTGGTGAATGGTTCTCAGCAGGATATACAGTAGGTAGAATGCCGCTAGAAGGAAGGAGCGGCACAGGGGGCAAGGGGGGGGGCTCAGCCAATGCCACTGATCACCCTTACCCCACCCCCTCATTTCTTCTAACATCCACCACAGTACATGATCGTAAGTTTGTGCCGTTTCCGTTCCCAATCAACCTACTGGTCAGCCTCATACTTGTCTAAGACCGAAAGTCCACTGGTGCTGCATGCCATAGGACAGTGCCGGAAGAGGCTTACACGATTTCGCCCGATCTCTTGGTGCAAATTGGATTGGGAATGCTTTCTTTGCACCTCTTCAAAGCCATCTTCGATGGTGGCCGATGCCATGCATTTCAAAGTTGCTTTTTGGGATGACTTTGTGTATAGTATAACTTGGAAATGCAACAGTTCCAGTACAGCATCGCTGCAGCCGGCTGCGCGGTCTCGGGGTCGGACACATTTCATTGAATCAATGAAATATCCGCCCTCCAACGGCTCACTCGGCTGTGCAAAGCTTACATTAGGCCAATGGAAATCATCACATTTTACGGGTACGATGTACTTCACGATGTGATTGGATGCGTGCGATACGACATTCCTGAATCTGGAAGGCAACGAGATGCGAGATCAACGCCCGACTATTATGGGTCCAACGGGTGCTACTTCCAAGGATTTTAAGCTGAATGTATGCTAAGATATTCTTTCTATCCTCGAAGGCTGTCAAGCGCCAGTAAGAGAGGCGCAAACATGTCCTGTGATTTCGTTTGAACGGGTAGGACGGCTGCGCAAACCTTGTGCCGTTCTCTACTGTATGTCATGTATCATATATAAATCAGACGAAGGCGTTACACTGCAAACACCATCAAGAGTCATCAAGGTGGATTTATTTACATTTATCAACTGCCATCTCCCAAATATTTGGCTGAAAAACTCATATCAAGGGTGAAAATACTTCGTCACCAAGTTACTACCGAACCTGAAATTTATTCAGATGGTCCTTCAGTGATAACATCAATTCGATTTTCTGTTCAATCAGAACATCTGATTCACCTGCCGGGAAACTAAAAAACCACTAACTTCTACCGAGGTATTTATTCCCGTCCATTTTAATCACCTGATACTCCTCGAATGCTCTTGCTAAGCTTAGCTGAGGCTTAGTTGACGATATCTACAGAGGAAAGAACCATTCTTGAAAGCGTTTTACTCAATTAGCAATTAGTTTCATTCACTTCGGCTACTCCGCCACCTTTCATTCAAGTACATAATAAAGCAACTTTCCACTTTGCTTCATCTACAGTATTACTTCAACAATAGCACTCTACTGCTCAACAACCATCTATCCTTTTCATCAAATACGTTTTTGACATAGTCAATACTCTTTCGCAACACCTCATTGTTCTCTAATACACATCCCTCATCAACCAATTATCCTTCACGATGTATAATATTGCAAGCCCAGATGAGTACCTCGCCATCACTGGTGCAGGTATTCGCACCGTCAAGATTACCAAGAGCGCCTGGGTCTGGCCTTTCCAAAGAGTTCGTCAAATACTTCTTCAATTTTCTCATTGTAACACTAACAAATTCCCAGTGCCAACGATTCAGCATCCAACCACATGTGAATTTCCCTTTCTCGCCAAACGCCCAGTTCCTTACTAATACACCCAGGACTACTCCATGAACCTCCAAGCAATGACCAGAGAGAAACTTCAATTTCTTCTCCCGGTCGTTTTCACAGTCGGTCCTTATGTCAATCAAAAAGGGGTCATTGACGGCCAGCCCACAAGAGACTCCACAGATGCCACCTTTGTCCATGCTCCTGCTCCAGAAGACCGCGGCGATGCTCTCATGAAATATGCAATGCTTCTCTCAGAAGGAGACAAGAAGGGTGCGGACAAGGGACAGCATATTGAGAATATTGTCAAGGGTATTATTGAGGGCGAGACGAGAGTTTTGGTCTCGAGTATGACTATGGAGGAGATCTTTACTGAGCGTGAGGTATGTCAGATTTCTCCAACCTGCTCAATTGACTACGAAAACTTCTGTATATGTAGGGAGAGTAGTGCTAATGTAAGGAACAGGAATTCAAGAAGCGGATTTTTCGTAATATCCAGGGAGAGCTTGGTCAGTTTGGTCTTAAGATTTATAATGCCAACGTCAAGGAACTTCGCGATGCTCCCCAATCCAGCTACTTCGAGTCACTCTCACGAAAAGCACATGAAGGTGCCATCAATCAAGCAAGAATTGATGTCGCTGAGGCTCAGCGTCGCGGTAATGTTGGAGAGGTTAGTTATACGTCTTTTGACCCCTTTTCGGGGGGTATTGAGAGAAAAGGAGACTGTTTCTCCAAAATATTTCACTTCCTAACGAATATTCTTCTAAAATTTGAATAAAAATTTGGAATACAAATACTGACTCGGGTTCTTCACAGGCACAACGTCAAGGAGAGCAAAATCGTGAAATCGCCAAGATTAATGGTACGTTGTCTGACTCTATCATGATATCTCGAGCTAACAGTTTCTCTAGCCGAGACCGCTGTCCAAAAGACAGAACGAGATTCCGAAAGAGCACAAGCAGAGGCAACCCTCGCAACCCGTAAAACCGTCTTCAACCGTGACGTCAGTATCGCCCAAATCGAAGCCACCCGCGCAACAGAATCTCGCGACGAAGAACTCCGAAAGGAAGTCGAAGTCAAGCGTGCATTCACAGAATTGGAGAGACTTCGAGCAAGCGATGTCGTGAAAGCTACCATCAGCAGAGAAGCAAAGCAACAAGCTGCCGACGCAAAATTGTACGAGGAGCAAGCCAAGGCAAACGCTGGTATGACTTCCCCTCCAAAATCCAATACCAAACACAAAACTAACACATCCCAGCCCTCTTCACCGAACAAAAAGCCGCAGACGCCCACGCCTACACCCTTCGCATCCAAGCCGAAGCCAACTTCCTCGCCGCCCAAAAGGAAGCCGAAGCCCAGCTCGTGCGTCAACAAAAAGAAGCAGCTGGTCTCTCCGCCATGGCCGGTGCGTACGCCGACCTCTCTCACGCCTTCGGTGGTCCAGCGGGTCTCATCCAGTATCTCATGATTGAGAAGGGTGTCTACCAACAGATGGCTAAACATAATGCTGAGGCGGTCCGCGGATTGAATCCCAAGATGACGATCTGGAATACTGGTGCTCAAGCGGGCAGTGAGGGCGAGGGAAGTAAAGCTGGAGAGGGAATGGGTGGTGTGAATAGTATTCGGAATATGTATCAGATGCTCCCGCCGTTGATGAGTACTATTAATGAACAAACTGGGATTGTTAGTTTCCTTCCTTCCCCTCGGAGAGTAAGATAGAGAGGGGGTTCTTGGGTAAAGATGAATGGGGACTAATGACTCCGTAGGTTCTTCCCGAGTGGCAGTTTGGGAAACTTGCCGGGCATATGTCGGAGCAGGAGGTTAATGGGAAGAAGATTGCGGGAATGGCCAATGGGGATCATTGAGTGGACTCCAAGGCTTTGGTGTGGTTGTGGTGGTGATTGTGTGGTGGGAGTGTGAGATATACCCCATCTCTTTTTTATGATGGAAGTTTCTTTTGTCTTTGTTTCTGGGGGTTTTTTTTTGGTTAGGGAGGACTTTTTTGTTGTTCTTGTTCTTGTGGTTGTTGTATGTTTATGGGGTAAGGTGTTTTATGGTTGGGTATGAGAGATGGGGGATGGTGTGGGTTCTTTGGAAAGCAGTGAGTGGAATGTTTGCGGACCTTCGAGCGTTACAGTATTGGTATTCCTTTCATCAGGGTAGGGGGTAAGATAAAAAAGGGAAAGGGTGTTGGTACCTATTTAGCGTGTGGTTCAGTGGATATACGGGGGTTAGGGTGGAATTTGGGGTTGGTGAGTGAGTTCGAGTGGAGTGGGGGTGGGAGTGGGATAGTGATAGTGATGGTTATTTTTCACGCAGCGTTTAGAAATTGATATTTTTGTTTTTATTGAATTGAATTGGATCGTGGGTTGTGATGCACTGATGTGTTATATATTGGGTTCTGGTTGTGAAGATGTGGGGTTATTTTGGTAGGTGGTTTTTAGATGTGGATCTTAAGTGTTAAGCTAATTTTGAGGTGTTTTCTTAAGAGTTACAGTATCGAAGAGGGTATGGTGATGGTAGATGATGGATTTCTCTACTGTTCCACGATGATTGTTTAAGTACTGTTCTTTGTGAGGTACAGTACTGTAATAGGGAGTGGTTTCCTTTTATTTCTTCCTCATTTTTTCTTTCTTTTTTTCACTCTTTTTTAGTGGTTAGGGTAATAAGGTGTATATTCGGAAGGGTTATCTTGTTTGCTTGAGTTTAGTTTAACGTTTAGTATTTATTTAATTTCTCCTCTTTTTATTAAAATACCTTGAATCCTAGGTTATTACGTATGAAGTAACAGGCGAAGGAAGAGGAAAAGGAAAATGTAAATGAAGAATGAAATGGAAGAGTCCTATTAATAACGCAGACGAAGACGGAGTGGGATCGGGGTTCAACGTTCGGCAAATGGAACCATATTCCATAGAATTCCAGGTGGAATATTCCATATAGAATTCTTCCAGAGCACCTATAAAATAGAATGGATTCCTTCCATTGACTAGGCTCTGGAATTCCACGAGTTCCATGGAATTCCAGAGTCTTTTTCTGACCAATCAAAACTCAATATTCAGGGTGGGTCATAGAGTAAATATGTTATTATATACGGAAGATATCTAAGTGAATAGGAATACTAGTAATATACCTAAATAGTTACGTTTAGTTCGCAATTAACTATAGGATTAGAGCCTCTCTGTATTAAGTATTACAGTTTAGAGTACTTTATAGTTAGAGGGGAAGGGGGGCTTCATATAACATGTCCGCTAGTCTAAGGCAAGGTGCGAGCTTTCTATTGGCCCACCGGAGCGGAGAGACTTTTTACCGGGTCATGTGACACATTCCAGCTGGAAATTCCATAAATTCCATAGAATATATACCTCTGGCATGGAATACTTCCAGCCAAATCCTAAAAGGAATGGAATTATTCCAGAGGGGGGGCCTGGAATGGAAAGGAATTCCAGATGCCGAACGTTGTCGGGGTTTGTGGATTGCTGGTGATAGTGCTAGTATACTTTTGGAGAGGAAAGATTTATGTTCAGAGGTATATGCTGGGTTTAGATGGTTTAGATGGGAAAGGGGGATGTTGTGGATGTGTAGGTAGGCTTTTTTAGGTTGTGAATTTGGGTTTTTCTTCTCTGGGGTATTACATGGAGTCCAGATTTGGAGCGAGTTGGAGGTGATATGTGTATGTATGTATATGTATGTATGTATGTATACTAAGGAGAGGGAGGGATGGAAGGGAAGGTAAGCAAAGAGAAGGTGGACTTTTTCGGATGATGGGTGTATGTGGCTAGAGGGGTGTAGTTAGTTAGATGTAGGTGGTTAAAGTGTGGGTCTCTGGAGACGCCAAGGGGGAAGAGGGAAGAGGGGCTATATAATCTTTGTAACTGAGCGACCTTAGGGAACAAGTTTCTATAAACAGACGAAGAAGATAGACCAGAGTATGGGAGCCAGTGGGATAGAAAAGTTCAGGGGCGAGGAAAGAGTTAGGGTCTTGTTGGATTTCCAAGGTATGGGGTCAAGTAGGTCATGTAGAATTGATTGTATTGTAAAAGAAGCTATTGTACAGCCTTTTATATCTACAAAAAGGGGTAAAAGAGTGGAGTGGTAACCCAATGCGGAAACAGTACAAATAATGAAATACATGTATAAATAATGAAACAAGTGGATTCCACGGTTCAACAAGTATATATGCGGAAAAGATGTGGATTGAATAGGACGTTAGGAAGATAGTACGTATCGTACCTAGGTATAAAAAAAGGCTACGGGTTTCGCTTCAGTGATTACTATATTGTAATTAGTTTCAAGAATATTCTCATCCCAAGGTTGTTCTATTGCCTACTGTTTGTAAACAAAGTCTATGCAGGAATACCCTTTCTATGTGCAATAAACGCCAAGTCTGGATGTACCTATCTGACTGATCACCCAATGATCTTGATATGACCCGAGATAATCATCCACCAAATCTAACCTATTTCTCTCCCCAAACCCCAATTCATCTTTCCAATGTCCTCCCGCCAAACCAACCCTCTCAATTCCCCTTCTCCCCCTCTATCCCTTCCTTCTTCTCAACCCACCCCTCCCCACCAAGCCACGTCCTCTCCTCTCCCCCAACCCACCACCCCTCCCTCCCCAAACTCTTCAGCGCAACATCAACATCAGTATGAATATCCCTAATCAAACTCTCGCGATCCACATAATCCAGCTCGGGTCGAATGAATCCCAAAATCGAGATCCTCATCCAAGCACCATAGAAGTCCTTTTCAAACTGATTCATGATATACACCTCCGCACTCCTGACCGTGTTCTTGTAGAATGGATTGAAACCCATGGACATGACCATTGGATATATCCTCCACGTGGAGTCTGATTTTTGGTCGTAGGAGGGAATTTTGAGGTCTGAGAGAGGAGGCGACTGCGCGAAGCTGGGCAGAGAAGGTGGGAGAGAGAGGTCGGTGTGAGTGGGCGGGAAGCGGATCGAGGCCCAGCCAAAGTAGACCCCCGATCGGGAAGTGTGTATCCAGTTTGTTGGGTCGGAAGATTCAGATGCGACGGGGAGGTTGGCGGTTGGTATTCCTAGCTGGTGGAATCATTAGCTACTATTCCTATACTCTTTCCCGCGGCGTCTTTGGACTTTTCAGAACGCCTCTGGGATCCACATAATGAGATCTTTGGAATACATACATCCTTTGAGCCCCGTCCGAATCCTGCTATCACTTCACCTTCCATGCGCAGCGGATACGGCTTTTCTGGACCGGTTGCTGCGCCCACTATTTGATCGCGGGGTTGCCGCGCGGGGGCGCTTTCAGACATTCTTGTGGAGAGGCGGTTGAATCTGTATTTCGTGGCTGCTTGATGAGAGGAGGTTTGCAATCTGGATTTGGGAGAGGAGGACGAGGAAGGAAAAAAGTGAGTTGTAGATGTTACTTTGTCAGCAATGGCGAGGCTGTGGAAATTTGTTACAAGGCGGGATGGATATATTGCCGATGACGGTAGCGGGGTAGGCCCCACTTTTCCGAAGTTCAAGCTCCTCCCTCCACTAACTAAATCGAGGACATGTGCAATTGCAGCATATCATTGCTTTTCTTGCTCTAATCATTACTGCAGGTTTTGACGATATAAACGTTTATTTAAAGAGTTGTTGGACTTCAGGCTCAAGTCTGATCTCTTTTTTCACTTTTGTCTTCTTCTCGATGTTTGTCTCAGCTCAGTTATTGGCAACAAAACTCATCGCATATTGCGCTGGAATCACTACATTTTAAGCTTATATTTGAGTTACGGGGTTTTGATATCCTTTCTCTGAGCAGATTGTCACCAATCCTTGTTTTCAAAAGTCCCTTTGATTGGTTCATATACGCTTCAAATCTGGATGTGCAACCTCTTCATGGAGCTTCTCAAAGTCCATTGGTTTCTCGATTCTCAGTTCTTTACGGATTCTGTCATCAATTCAGTTGCTTCAAAGCGAATGTAGTTGATCAATTTCAATTTTCAGACTTTCGCGTCTTAGCCGCAGCCGGCTGAAAAATTACCCGCCTGTTTCTCTCTCACACATTATTCAAGAAGACACATACCAACCCTCCAAATCGTCAAGCAACATTTGATAAGGTACAATCAAGGTTGTACCACATGATAGAAGCACAAATACATTGACGGGATTCACCCAATGACATGGAAGAGTCGGTGCCAGCAACCAGTGTTGCAGTTGCACCTTGTGGTTGTGTACTTTGTCTTGAGTACAGACCAAGTCTTACAAGATATGGGTGATGTTTTGCTTGGAGACATGGAAGGTTTTGACGAGGGGTGATTTGAGACAGTTGCAAGACAGCTGAGAGGTATACTTGATTTTGGGGAATTTCGGTGTTTATGAATTTGTTGGATTAGAGTACGGAGGGACCTTGGAAGCACTCGAGAACTCCTGGCTTGGGACGTGGAGAAAGTGTGGCTGGTGAATAAAGACTGTGCGCCACGATATCGAACTCTAAAAAAGCGGGCACGGAAGTCTCAGCCGCCCGTCAAAAGTCCATGACGCAAGTGTTTGTCGTTGATACCGAAAGATCTCCGAGTGAAGTGTTGAGGTGGACAAGATTACTGTATTCACCAACACTCGACAGTCTTAATTCGGTTCAAGGAGTCATGATGCAAACACTCGTTCGTGTGAAAACTGCATGAACTGCCATGTGTCTTCCAAACTCAATTCCATGCTATACAGGGGTATTTCGGGGATAAAGAATCAAAGTTAGTCACTATCTGTTATCCCCGAAGGCGGAAGTCTAAGCAGAAAGAAGCATTCACTTGCCGTGAGCCGACTCCATTTTTACGTGGGGGCGCATTCACTTGATTGGAAATGTCTTCGTTTTTCCCCATATAACTGAACAGGGGTGACCTCATCACGGAAACATTACCATCTTTCGTTTTGTTAATCCATTTTTTGCTGTACTCGTACTCAGTACTTTGCTTGTATTCTTCCGCGCATACCACCGGCTGGTCCTCATCGTGATCCCATTCCAGAATTATTGATTTTGATGAATGTGTCGTGTCGTTTTGGAATTTGATTGTCTATCTAATTGCGCCGAATAGAAGCAAAAGAGCCTTAGACTGTACGTATAGTAAGTCTGCTCGGACTAACTCCCTTCAATTGTTGCTCGAATTGAGCTTACACCTCGACCGGTTTTATAATTGATCGCATAGGTCGGAGGATACGCCCCAATGGCAGACTCCAACGATGGGATTGAGAATTTGACAGAAAGTGATTCGAATCCCAGTCTTGAGACTGCGCCTTCCAAGGAATTCGGACCACTGAACCCTACGAAAACTCCGAGACAAGATCCCTTATCGCGACATTCTACGCATAAATCCCTTGATCGTTCGCGCTCACATAATGGATATGGTTGTGGTGACTTGGAGGAAGACACGTTGGATGAGCGTAAGGGCGACTATGGTGGAGAGGGACGTTCGGAGAAAGACCCGTTCGAAGTCCTCTGGGATGGGGATCATGATCCTTTGAATCCCAGGAGTTTTACGATGGCCAGAAAGTGGGGAATTGTGTTGATTGTTAGTGCGTCGTCTATGTGTGTGTAAGTGCCACCTCTGCTATTACGAGAGGAATGGAGGGAACAGATTCGGGAAGAAGTAGAATTGTAGACGAAGTCCTGCTTCAGGTCGGAGGAGCTCAAAAGAACGGATATTGTGCTCGGCCGCAAACATTCTTTCCTCTTGCGCAAAGGTCCTCGAAGAATCAAAGCTATTGTTTGTGGAATTTCAGGAGAATAGACCAATTGAGGGTTCTATTCTCCTAAACCTCCCCGGCCAATATTGACGACTATTCTAGACTTATTAGCGGCATCATCCAAGAGTAGATGTCGAATAATACCCTGTGCTGATATGACAGAGGAAGAAACAAAATAAAGAGAGACTAACCTGAACATCTCACAGAACCTGCACTTCTTCCATCTACACATCCACATACGCTCAACTTGAGGAAGAGTTCCATAGTTCGAGACTTCTCGCCACTGGAGGATTGTCACTCTTCATCCTCGGACTGGGAATAGGGCCTATGTTCCTGGGACCTTTTTCGTGCGTCTGTCAAACCCGGCTACCTTGCACTCCCATCTAACATCACATCATTAGAGAGTTCTATGGTCGAAGACCAGTATATCTCGCAGCCTTTTCCCTGTTTCTGTTATGGTTGATTCCATCGGTGGTTGCTCAAAACATCCAAACCATGCTCATTGCTCGATTCTTTGATGGACTATCGGGTAGTGCCTTCTTATCCGTTGCTGGTGGAACTGTTGGTGATATGTTCAATCGCGAACAACTCCAGTTTCCGATGATGGTATACACAGCCTCGCCATTTGTAGGACCTTCGATGTAAGGATTCTTTCATGATCTATTCTCGCGAGGTCAACTTAACCTTCCGAATGTTCCTTCCCTTATCGCTACCAAGCTTCTTCCTCCCGAAAAGCTTGTTTTATCCTCACCATAACGTGACACCGTGCTCTACACTTCCCAGGTGATGTTGCAATATCATGGAATGAACAGTCACTGACACCGTCGATTGATCTAGTGGCCCACTCGTCGGAGGTTTCATAAACCAATACGCGAATTGGAGATGGACGTTCTATGTGCTACTCATGTGGTCAGGTGCGAACCTGGGGATGATCGCTTTCTTCGTTCCCGAGACCTACCATCCGGTACTCTTGCGTAGCAAGGCCCGAAAGATGAGAAAGGAGACGGGAGAGGAGCAGTGGAAGGCGCCGATGGAGAAGACCAACAAGTCGATTCCGAAGACGGTCGCTTTGAGTCTTTTGAGGCCGATGCAGCTACTGTTTCTCGAGCCGATGTGCTTGAATTTGTGTCTTTATTCGGCTATTCTTTTGGGTATTCTGTACCTATTTTTTGGGGTAAATCTATATTTTGCCATTGTTTCTTCCTTTTTTCTTTATAACTTTACTACGGTTATACTACTTCCCTGCCTCTCGATGGACTCAGAAAGCGGCTTGGGTGGTGTTTCGCTTGTTCACCATATCTAAATCAGTATGTGCTAATGTGCTAATGTTTCCTAGGCATTCCCCGTAGTCTTCATTGGAAATCATGAATTTACTTTATCTCAAGTTGGCATGAGCTTTTTAGGAATATTGGTTGGGATGTTGTTCGGTACAGCGACAGATCCCTACTGGGCCAAGAACTACCTTCGGTTGATCAAGCAAAGAGAAGATGCAACCGGAGAGGTAGGTGGCTCAGAGCCTGAATACAGACTACCCCCCGCCATTGCAGGGGCATTTCTGGTTCCCGTGGGGTTGTTCCTCTTCGCTTGGACAACATATAGAAGCGTACACTGGATTGTTCCTATCATCGGATCAGCTATTTTTGGTATGGGGTAAGTCTAACCGCTCTCTTTGCCCAATTCGTGTTCTTCTAGGCGTTCATGGAAACATTGAAAATCGAATCATTTTGTTGAAAGCCAAGTGGTTTGTTGAGTATGTACCTGCGTGGAATGCAGCATCAATCACAATCTCTCAAACCCTGTCGCATACTCGGTGTTCTTTGGTCAATTGGCAGTGGAGTTGACTCGAGGACTCGGCTTTTGGTTGTCGAATGCTACCCCTCCATCCCAAATTAGCCACCCCTCGATGCAGGCACCCAGAGTTCCAATCGCTAGGGTGTTTTGGGACAATCTGCATTCAATTGCGCTAGCTTGGACGCAGCCTCCCATGATTATTGATTCCCTTCAAACTCACATGACACTTTAATTTCATGCACGTGCTGTCGTACGAAATATACGATGTCGCTAACAAATTTGGAACCGCACAGAACGGTCCTGGTCTTCAGTGGAGTTTTTACCTTTTTGGTCGATGCATATCCATTATATGCAGCATCGTCGTTGGCTGCGAACAGTTTTGCTCGAAGCACTCTTGGAGGTAAGAAATTCCAGCCCGCTGTTGGACGGAGTCATCTCCCGCTTAATTGAGGCTGATGATTGACATAGCTGTGTTCCCACTGTTTGGCGTGCAAATGTACCACAAACTTGGCGATCAATGGGCCACAAGTTTACTCGCCTTCCTAACCGTTGCGATGGTACCATTTCCATTGATCTTTTTCAAATATGGAAAACAGATAAGAGGTAAGAGTCGTTTTGCTAGTGCGTAGTTGGAAAGTGGCTATCTTGTAACATGATACTTGAGAATTGCCGGTACATATTTTCGTTATCATGGTTACATAATTTACATACATGAAACGGTGTACATATTGCCCTCCGTAAAGAGGGATTGTTGGGAGAACAACATAATCTTATTTCTTGAGGTACCTTCATCGCTCGTGACTCGTCCACAGTTTGAGGTTGTGCTTCAAACCGAGATAGGAGGGCCTGGTCTTGACCAACCCCATCTTTTATACCAGTCCTCGGATCCCAGACATCAAAGGCATATCGCGGTGGCACGACTTCTCAACCTGAAGCTCATCAGTGGAATCATCTGATAGTGAGTGCAGATTGTAGCCCAAGCCCGGCCTCTGAAACTCCGTCAGCACTTAATATCATCGGATTTAATGTAGTCATTGCACTCCCCTCTCCCACGAAAGAATTGCAGATGTATTTTTGCACCTCTTGTCCCCTCCACGGCTTCCAAGTTCCGGCCACTGAATGCCCCTTGTCCGTTCGCTACCGAGCTGCTGCGTAACGAACATCCCAAGGACCAGCAACCAGTCACCTTCATATCACTCAAGCCCGCGCTGGTGGCGCATACCTTGGGGGACCGTCCGGACAGGGCCAGGGATGGGAGAAATGGGGATGGCATACAAGAGCATGTGACCGTTAGGACACTTGGTGCTACGGAGGCTTGATGGGCGCAAGCAGCCTTGACATTCTGTTGGATGTCAGAGGAGAAAGTCGAAGGTACTGCACCAGGGCCCCCGTTACCACCCTCGTTGGTGATGAACGGCGGCATTTGCTGAAGTCTTTTTTTTTCTCCGTGTACTGTACGTTGATTGTGGTACACCGAGTAGAGGAAGGCCATGTGAGGGTCCAAATGGCGTCATGGTTTTGCAGAAATGGGGCGGGAGACGGTGTTGATGAGGGATGCCAATGCTATTTTTTGCTTGGGCTCGTATGGGCCCTTGTCAACAACCGCTTCACCATCCCCCCTATTGCAACGAGTGGCTGGATCCGGCATGGTTAGCGAGGGAGCGAAAGACGCCGGTCTTCGGGGCACTACGGGGCCAGTGCGGAGAGACAGTGGGAGATGGGAGACAGACTCTGACAGGCGGGCTGCGGCCAAGGCAAATCAAAGCAGCAGTGCGCTGAACCCTGCGCCAGCCAAGTGATGAACCGAGAGAGCGAGCTTTTTGTCAACCGCGAAAGTCTACAACACCATCACTCTCCACCCGCCACTTTTGCACGACAAACACAACGTTGCTGCCACGCGCGCTGCGTCCAGTCGTCAAGCAATTGTCACACCCACGAGTCGCTGAACCCATTCGCGCCCACAGCGCAATTGAGCAAAGGTCAACTGGAGGGGCAGGCGCAAACCGAGCAGGACGGGCAGTGGTGAATGTAGAGGCTGCGAAAGAGGTGACGAAGGAGAGAAGAATAAGATTCACGGAATCTGGGGAAGAACTTCTGGGGAAAACTAGACCGAGCATCCCGAGCTGGCCTTTCCAACCTGCCTGCGTACATTCGATTTTGAGCTGCGAGCTCCCAGCACCGAATCCCAATCGACCGGACCTCATTTCCTAATCAATACTTGCCAGAGGTTCTCAGCTCGCGCAAGCAATTCTAATCCATAGCAGGAGCCAATCGACCGTTGGTTGCCCCGTCATCGACATCCAATATTGACTCGATTAATTACCTCGAACCCCAATAAACGAAGCCGGTCCCAAAGAGTCTAAGAAATAGAGAGAAGAGCAGGGTCAAGGGCCGTCCGTATTATTTGGGCATCAATGCCATTGTATAGGCTGGCGGTGGAATTGGCTAGAGGCAACGGATACCTGCATAAGACTGAGTGGCACCGCATCACGACGTCGGCGCAGACCGCGAAGAAGCATTGGGAAGATAGCGATCGACTTCCAAATCGCGCAGGTGCAAGCTGCGAGCAGAGCATCATCACTGGCAGCCGGCGAGAAAGAGGCGTACGAACAACCTTCTCCACCTCGTGATCCTGGTGTTGTGCTGGGCGAGTATACATACGGCGGTGGTATTGGTCGGCGACCTCTCTGGGCACGCAAGTCGCTCGTTGTTGCACGTAACACGGGAGTGGAGGTGCAGAGAAGAAGTCCTGGGACGTAGTCTGCGGTACGGTACGTCACGGCGGGCTGTTTTGGGGAAGTGATTTGTACCATCGCTTTGGAGACGGCGGGAGACCCACGATACGATACGATACCAGGCACTGAAGACAGAGCGGCGGGACGAGGGGAAGGACCGACGAGCAGAAGTTGGCTGGACGGTGCATGCGAACGTGCCTGTGGCTGGAGAGGCACGAGGCGAAACGTGGTGAGCAGAGCGAAGCCTCCGGGTACGTGCTGGACGACCAAGCTGGGCCTTGACTAAGAGGCGGCCGTAGCAAAGCTCTGATTTGCAGCAGCAGCAGACCAGGCACTGGGAGGGGTATTGTGACGAGGTTGCGTGCTGGGAAGAGACGTAGAAGCGGCGTTGTGGTTCCTTCGTGGCGTCTTTGAAGCCAAGGGCTTCTCCAGAGCCTGAGAGCCGCTGCAGAAGAGCAAAGCAGCTGAGCTAGGCTAGCCGGTGGGCGAGCATCAGCATTAGTGAGAGTGAGGGCAAGGCAAGTAATAGCTACCGCTACAGCTACTGGTGCGCTGGGACGGTCCACGGCGCCTTTGATACCTGTGCTTCCGCTTCCCTGCCTGTACGACGAGCCTCTCTCCTGCACCAGAGCCTATTCCAGGGATTGGATAGCGAGCCCTGGACGGGGGGTCCTGCATTGGTTGAGTGTGGTTTTACAAGCAGGGAGCTAGTCGTTGCAGATTGCTCACCCAAGTGGGTATTTAATACAGGATGTCGGGAGATACTGAGATAGATGATCCTGAGGTTTCGGATGGCGCTTCGGAAAATGAATATAGTGATCAAGAGCAAGATCCTGATGTTCTGAGGGATGAGGACGATAACTCGGGCATGGCGGAGCAAAAGATTAGACCGGATGCTGATGAGAATGGGAAGGCGGTGGGATCGACGGTGACAACAACAAAGCCAAAGCTAGATCCAAAGGATCCATTGCGGCCAAGAAGAAAAAAGGCGAGAAGAGCTTGCTTTGCATGCCAAAGAGCTCACTTGACTTGCGGTATGTTTGCTTTTCTTCGGACGAAGATTCATTGCTTTTCGTCTTACTTTCAAATTCCCGCTCTCACCACAACACCTCCCTCCCTCTATCCAAAACTGACTCATGGCTAGGTGATGAACGACCATGTCAACGATGTATCAAAAGAGGCCTTGCCGACGCTTGTCAGGATGGGGTCAGGAAGAAGGCAAAGTATCTCCACGATGCTCCAGCTGAGGCTCTTCGACCTGTATTAGGTCCAAATTACAATCAAGTCAACAACCCAAGAGCCAACAATGGCCCACCAGCGGTAAACACTTCAACGTCAGAAACTTCTCCCCAACTGAGCGGCGGCTTCTTTTCACAAGCCGACGTATCTCCCTCTTTCCCGATCTATTCAGCCCAGCAAAACCCCATGGCTCCTCCTTTACAAACGCGACTCTCGTATGGGAGTCAACAATCACCATTATCTCCCGAGTTTCAGAATCAAGTCAGTCGACAGAATTCAATGCAGCAACAAATGCCTGCACCGCAACCTCCAACACAGAATGAAGTTCCTGGCTCTTTTGGTGGTGGAGCACTATTTGATCCGAGTAATCCAGCATTATTCAATTTCGACCTCGAAGGTTTGAACTTTGGTAACCATTATGGCGCTTTGGAGTTTGGTATGCTCGGGCATATGTCTTCAGGAGTGGGAGACGCAGAGCCCAAAGACGCATTATCTGCGCAGGGAATGAATAATGTCAATTTTAACAACGGTGGAGTGTTTGGGGGCAACATTGATCAATATGGTCAAGTCTACCAACAAGAAATGCTTCCCGAATTCGGTGGTCTGGATCGACAGAACAGTGCAAACCAAATGTTTGGAAACAATATCCATCATGGTTTACCGCAAGCATACGCTATTACCGCAGGCCCCTTGAGCCATCATAGTCCCAGCACAGACGCAAGTCCAGGCGCCAGTGGGATGGGTTTTGAGAGCTCTCCAGCTTCATACACCCCCTCTGCGACACCACATCTGCCTCCTGCAAATCGTCCAGCGAAGCGACAAGAGGCAAAAACGGGCCAAACGCAGAAGTTTGGTCCTTCATCGATATTAGGAAAACGTACCCGAGATCCGTCTTCTATTTATGACACTGTTCATGAGCCCTACTCTTATACCACAGGTTTTCATCAATTGACAGCCTTTCTTATGCGACGATTTTCGCCCACCAAAACTCTCAGCATAGCCAAGTCCCTCTCTTCTATTCGTCCCTCGTTCATCTCATGTACCAAAACGCTCAACCGACAGGATTTAATCTTCATGGAGAAATGTTTCCAACGAACTTTATTTGAATATGAGGAATTCATGTTGAACTGCGCTACACCGACTCTTGTATGTCGACGAACTGGGGAAATTGCAGCTGTTAATAGGGAGTTCACTCAGATGACAGGATGGGAAAAGAAGGTGTTGCTGGGCAAATCTCCAAATCTTAATGTCAATACTGGAAATGGTCTCGGCACTTCGACTTCGAACAGCGTGAACAGTTCCGGACGAGCTGGCCTTACGACGCCTAGGATGCGAGCCCTTTCTACGACCGAAGCGCCTTCCAAAGAAGGAAGACCACAACCGGTCTTCCTTCCCGAATTAATGGATGACGATAGCGTTATCGAGTTCTATGAGGACTTTGCGCGGTTGGCATTTGGTGATAGTCGGGGTAGTGTGATGACGAGGTGTAAACTTCTTAGTTACCAAACGAAGGAGGGGACGGAGATGAGTCCTGAGCAGAGGGCGATCAAGGAGGAGAAGAGTAAACAGAGTAAACCTAAGCCCCCGCCGCCGGTGGGGGGAATTGGGGGAATGTGGAATCGAGTGAGGGAGATTGATGGGGATCATGGGATTCGGGATGTGGAGAAGGATGGGAAGTTGGAGTGTACGTATTGTTGGACGGTGAAGAGGGATGTTTTTGATATTCCTATGTTGATTGTTATGAACGTGGGTTTCTCTTTTCCTTTTCCGCCCCCTTGATTATTTGGGTTTTTGCTAATACACGGGGTGCATAGTTCCTTCCTCATATCTCTCAATGATGTCGGGCCTTCCTTCCTTCCACTTCCCATCTGGATCTGGGTTATGTTGATGATATTTTACCGATATCTACGATGACAGACGATTCACCTACCTAACTACCTACCTTCACCGCACCTCAAAACTTCATTCCTGTCTATTATTTTTTTCTTTTCTTGTTTTCTTCTTCTTTCTTCTTTCTTGCATAGGGAATGCAGGGGACAACTTTCGGGTGGGAGATAAAAATCAAGGGGCTCGGTGTAGCACGTTTTTACTTTTGGGTAGCACATAAATTGGATTTCTGGGGTTCTTTCCTCTTTCCTCTTTTTTCGTTTTCTTGGGAGATGGCTGGGGTATGGGGTATGGGGTATGGGATATACTTGCATGGATGGATGAATGAACGGGATGGATGGATGAATGAACGGGATGGATGGATGGGTGGATGGATAGATGGAACCTTTGGATACCTGGAGATGCGGTTGGGGTTCGGGTTTGGCAGGCTTGGGGTTGGCGATGGCGATGGGTTCCTGGGTTGGGTTGGGTTGATGATTAGATAGTTGAATTGATTTTTGCATGATGACTTTTTTTTTGTTGTTTGTTTGTTTGGTGTGTTTGTTTGCTTGGTGAGTGCTTGTCGTACTTACCTTTTTTGAAGGAAAGGGGGGACGGGGGCGTTTGGCGAGATTGGGATGCGTTGATGGGGTATTGTGGGTGTGGAGATTGGATTTTTATCTGTTCTCATCTGATTTGGTTTGTTTTTGACAAGGATCGCGGTTTGATACAGTACGTAAGGGAATGGTATAGGTTGGGCATGGGGATAAAAGTCCTTTTTGTTTGTTTTCTTTTGGTCTGGCTCTTGGTTTGTGTTTAGGTGTTGGGTTGAGGGTGTCATATACTTCTATGTTATACCTTAGTAGATAGAGGGGTTTCTTGGGATGATAGTACTGATTAGGGGGCAGGAGAGGGGGGTGCTGGTACACTTTCTATTGCTTTTCCTTTTCTTTTCTTTTCTTTTCTTTTCTTTTCTGGAGGCTGGGAGATGAGGTGAGATGGAGATGGGGTGAGAGAGAATGAAGGGGATGGAGATAGGATGAGATGATGTTAGATAGTTCTAGCATTTTTTTTATATTATAGTAATGTGATGGTGTGGATTTTTGTGCTACTACGAGTATAGTACTATGGTATTATGGTATGAGTGATTTTCTTTGCGACTGGGTGTAGGTGTGTTGGGTTTGAGGGTTGGGTATGTGGGTTCTTGGTAGGATAGCAAGTACATTTCGTATTTTTACGAGTTTCTTTGCCTTTGTTAGAGCTATTATGATAGTGTCTTGTACTAAAATCGGCGAAAAATTTTATATACGAGAAGTAGGGATAGGGAAGGGGGGTTGTTAGTATTACAAAATCGAGAAAGGGTTAGGGTTTACAATATTAGTTGAAGAATAATTATACTCCTATAGGTAAGTAAGGAAGCCTACGCTATGGTTTAAGCAACAAGATATGTTAATCGTCTTCTTTTCTCGCCGATCATACAGGTTCTTACTGTAACCTCTGCTCTCAAGTTATTTGTAGAGAAGACAACTGTAACAATATATGGCCACTATGTAAATAGAAAGATCTTTTGTTACTTTGTTGTCTCTCGGCTATTGTTGAGTCACGTGGATATTGCAAATTAAAGTATGATAGGTAAAAGAAGTAGTTGTATTAGGTACGAAGCTAGCACCAATATAGGTTGCTCAAAAATTACCCAAAGTACGTTGGTCCACCGTATGTGACTTGAGTAATCCACTGCTATGCCAAACACCAGGTTTGAGGAACGCAATGGATCTTGACTTGCAGTGCCATTGCACTGAGCGACTATTGGGCTTCATTCAATTTAGTACATTGCTATCAATTCTTCAAGTGTGCGTTGACTAACCTTCTGCACTTCTCTACACTTCTCCTACAGAGAGTTTTCTTTACGGTTGGCAACTCTTTCTAACGCCACCATTGATGCTCTGACACGTTAAACCGGGGCAGCATAGGAGATCCCCTGTATGCCCGCATCCAGCTGGGCTCGAGATTAGAACTTGCGTCGCGGATATGAGCAAGGCTAGTAGCAAGAAAAACGTACTATCGATACCAACGTATTTCAATTTCAATGTAGCAAGACACATGAAGGTATAGATAGAATCAACTAATTCTGCAACCAGTGAAAAAAAGATAACAAATCAATGCCCAGAAAATGGTTATGAAAGCATCAGTACCTCCACAGAAGTTTCGACCTAAACTCCTGCTGCTCTTATCAACGCATCTGCTGTCCATTCAGGGAAACTGATCATAAGACAGTGGCCACCCTCCTTACATTTTTCAACAACATCAAATGCACTCGGCTCCGCTTGTCGAGCACCTTGAAGCATCATCTCTACCATCGGAGGTGAAAATGCAGTCTCATCTTGTTCACCCATGAGATAGGTTGACGGAATAGCTGTCCAGGCTGCGTAGGTTGCCGTACTGAAGTAAACCCCACTGCTTTGAAAGACAAGTTTCACAGCTAGTTCATCTCCTTCTGATGACGACATGTCGTTGTAGAAGACCTTTTTAGCATCATCAGCATGTGGTACCGAGACAGTTGCATCCTAGGCAGTTGTTAGCTGACTGAAATAGTTCCGTCTAAATGCTCTAAAGGCTAAAATATGTGTCAACAGCGTGCATTCGCGGATTGCCTCACCTCATGGTCAAACTTCATCCATTCTGGAAATTGACTGAAGTCTCCTTTCGGATTTGGCTGGAACCCGGCTGGGGTCGCAAATCCATTTATCACCACATATCTTATAAAACCTCCCTTTAGGCCCTTTAGGCCTTTTGCTTCACGTTCTATCTTTCCAACACCAATTGGAGCTTCGCCACCGGGAAGACCGGAATATGAATGTACGACTAGAACGACATCCTTCTCATCTGAAATGAGCGCGGTCAGACATTTTCGAATAGCCGCAACATCTTCCCTGAAATCGGCATGTAGTGGTATAGCACCAACGGATGGTAAAGCTACTCCCATGGCTGAAAACCCATGTTTGGAAAGAATGGCGGTGACAGCTGAGTAGATATCGGGACTGTGCCAAGCACCTGGGACAAGGACAAATGTTGGTTTGGACATGAGTGCTGTTATAACTACTTATTGGATGATTTGGTTGCTTGTGTTTCTGTGGTGGCTTGCAATCTGGAAAGGGAACCAATAAATTGATGTGCTGAGACGCAAAGTATTTATTGAATTTGCTATGTTGCTGTGCCACAGTGCTAAGTAGATCAAATCTCTGGAGCGAATGATTCGCGGAATAGTGGGTTAATGCAACAGCTGATGTTACCTATATGTTGGGATTAGTTCTAGAGATTGCTGATAATGGGGCCAATAGACTGTTGATCAAATGTTGGCAATCTGTTGGTGACATCAACTCGCGCTAAAGTTCTGAGCTGACAAGTACTGTACGTGATTCGACCCGAACTATAGAAGCCATTTGGCTACCAATAGACTGTGTAATTTGAGTCCATAACAGGAACCGCAAAGTTGAATATGGGAGAGAGTGATTGTTGCAATATTAACATTTGGATTACACGAGGTAGTTCACGTGACCAGTTTGGAGGAAACTTGGAAGCATCCATCTACACTATTACAGACAAAAACAAAATGGATTTTGATTGCTTAAGCATAGTTATGAGAGCTTATGCTTTGATTAGTGAAACAAAGATTAGCTGGCCATAACTTGTGTTAATGGGACTTGAAAACTACAGTTGTTCCTTTGCCAAAAGTCCATTGCACTAGTATCGATAAGTTAGCAGGTTTTTTAGAGCGAGAAGTATTTTTATACGATGATTATTTACAAGAACTGGAAACGGGGCGATGGGCAGAAAGTAGAACAATAGTGAAGGGTACTCTTACGGGTATTCCTAACAATCAGCATTCTTCTGAAACCTCTGTTTTCAGGACTTCCGCGTTCATGCTCTTTTACTATTCCAACCTGTGGCACAGAGCTCTTTCCAAGAACTGCAAGATACAATTCTCTCAAATCAGGCAATCTTGTAAATCCAGGTTTCATTTCCACCAACTGGTCCCCAACAAACCTATACACGGGGTCAGGATTCATATAATCAGAACCCCCAAAGCTATATGCATATGTTCCACTTTCATGATTGTCTTCTCTTGTTTGATCAAACATTTCAAATCTACCGTGTAATAATTCCAACGCTGCTCTACTGGCTTTGTGCTGATATGGTTTGGAGCCAATCTCAATTGTGAGGTCGGAACTGATCGATTCGCGAAAATTGTCGGAATAACAAAGTGAGATATCAAGCCAGTTGTGGATTTCGTGACCGAAAGCGATTGACATTGCGTTTGCCATTACTGCTAAGTACGCGGATTTCGTGTCGAGTGCTTGCTGAGAAGCTGCAGTCCATCGCATTCGCCATTCGAGTGGATTGAACTGACCATTGGCGTGCGTATATATGAGCATGAAAACCTTAGCTAAGAGATTCGGAACCGAGTCGTTTGGGAATTTGGAACTGGAGGTGGAATTGGCTGAAGGATCCAGGATATCGATGGTCTTGTGAAAGGGGGAAATGACCAACAGGCCAGGAAATGCGCCGCCGTTCACTCCGAGGACGAAAGGAATAAAGATGAATCTCGTCTTGAAGAATTGAGTTGGATGTACCCCGGTACTGATGAGGAATTGTGATGCCTCTGGATACCTCTCCTGCTCTATGAATTTACAGATTTCGGAGTAAAGAGCTACACAGTATGGTGGATTGATAGGACCACCGCCATAATATTGATTCGCATGGCGACAGATCATAAAAATGTACTTTTCGACTGGCTCAATAGTGATGGGGTGGGTTTTCTGATCATCGAGAAGCTGTAAAATATCATGTCTGTAGACCGGAACGAGATTGTTACACGAGTCGAAAGTTTGGCTCAGAATCTGGTTGGAAGCATCATGTGTAGATGAGTGTGTGGTATGAGCGTGTAGGAGATTCTTCTGGGTAGTGCTAATGTCTTTCCACTGCTTTCTCAATTCCTCTGGCCTCAAATTAGGTTTAGTGTTACGTTGAGTAAAATGTTGCCTCTCAAATTGGCTAGGCAATTGGCCAACGAACATAATTCTGAATCTTTACTCCTCCGGATATAATTTCCGGATCTTAGAACGGAAAGGCAAGACGACTATCTCAAGTCATGAAATCCAACAAAGAACAAAGGCGTGAAAGTTACGAAATCAGTAACTTCAAAGGGTGGCAGCTTACTTAAAGACTTCTTTGTTTGACATGCGAGGCAAAGCAGGCAACCTTCGGTCAGTTTTACGATGAGGAAACACGCAAACTCTCACCTGTTTGCTGAGAAAGAAATATATCATCTATTTTGCTCGGAGAATAAGAAATCAGAAAGTTTTGAACGCCAAGTCTCGCACAGTACTAAATTTGTCTCAAAAGAGCTTTTGAACAGTAAACCAGGGCGGGCGGATAGGAATTCGGAACACCTCTACAAATAGCGTTTGGCATTTGATTTCTTTCCCTTCTCCGGAGGTGAAATGGGAATAGGGGCTTTGAAATATCCCACCACTCATTTTAAGAAAACAATAACACCGTATTAATTGGATTATAAGGTAACGTTTTGGTATAAGATAAATAGATTTATTATCTTATACCCTAGTCATGGCAGCACTACAAATATAGTGACACCACTACATGTCTCCCATGGTCGACGGCGAGCCTTAGTATAGTCAGACTCTACCAAATATCCTAGGGTTAAAGAGGAGCACAACGTTCATATAGTTTAGGGCATACGAGTTTTCATGCCGCCGTCAATTTGTGTGATTGTTCTGGTCCGAAGCAGCAAGCATTAGAGGGCTCTGGTACTGGCTGGATTCAGGAGATAAAGTTAGCGCAAAGACGCAGGAAAGTTCTAGTCGTTTTTGTTTCACATTACATGTATAGAGACTTTAGATTACTAGGAGCGCGATGAATAACATTTATAATCTTTGGGTGACAGATCTCTACCTGTGTGGCGTAAAAGTATAAGACACCACGAAGTAAAAGATGAGCACCCAAGAGACGTAAGACAGTACGTGCTTATCGCCAGCAAGCATAATAGGAATGACAAGTAGTTTGTTTATCACTTGGGGGCTTCATGTACTGGACACATTGTATCATGTCACTCTAGAGTTTGTTTTTTGGGGGTTATGTATTTAATATTAGTTTGGGGTTCTTTTTTATGTTATCTATGGAGGATTATTAATGATGCCAGATCATTCGTTTATCCCACAGAACTTGTGACCTTTCTTGCAAATTAGGTAAGAGCCAAACTCATTCCTCCAAATTCACAACCGAATTACTCGGCCGCTGCTTGCAGAAGCATCGTCATCCACCAAGGCCTCTCGACATTCCACCCAAAAGACCCAGGTTTACTAGCAACATCACTTACCGTCTCTTCGAGTGCAGGAGCAAAGAAATGGGCCTCGATCCTGAAGCCCTTAGCTAGAGGTTCAAAACCAGGTTTCTTTGTCGGCGGCTCATCTCCAATATCGGTTAGTCCAAACCCCTCCCTACAAATGACACAAACTTTCAAAGCGCTCTCGCGATCCCATGATACGATCCATTCCTCGAGACAGTATTTGCAGTATTTGTGCTTGCAAGGAAGCTGGATTACTGGACCATCTTCTGGGGCGATATCTGCAAAGGTGCAAATGCAGACTGGACAACTTGTCCCATCAGTCATTTTCGCGAGCTCCGAAGATGGAACGTCTTCTGCGAGATTGTCTAAGCGAGAAAGTAGGACTGAGAGTCTTTCCTCGCGTACGATCTCAGGGGCTGGTCGAAGTTGTCTCTGGCGAAGTCCGTTCATTCTCACTCGTAGAATGAATTGTGCTAATGCAGTGTGGTACGCGAAAACGATGTGTGTAGCGAAGATATGGAATCGATTTCCGTCTTCTCTGTTGATCTCACCGCTTTGCACTTTTACCCACATGTACCTTTCTAATATCTTGACGAAGTGCATAAGCCATTCTAGATCGGCGTCCGGAAGTGGATCAACCCATTCGTCGTAGTATGGATATGCTATTCCTGTTGGAGAGACGATTGTGTCGGAGTGTCGTGGTGGATATTTTGCCATTATCCTTTCGCAAAGCGCGAGCTCTTCGTCTGTGACCGGGGAGGTTAGAGGACGTGGAAATAGCGTCTTTGTAAATAGACAGGTGCTACAGATACCCGGAATCGCTACCTCTAGAGATATGAGACCTGTACACGTCTCGTCGCGATCGCAGCGGCCCTCAAAATGACGGTCTATTAGATAGCATCTGCACTCAGCGAAGAAATAGGTGACTATCTTACACATTTGGCCTTTGTCTTTGCTGAGTATTGAGGTTTTCTCGTATTTGATGATGATTCTTTGCTTTATTTTTCTTGTGGAGAGCAAAGAAGAAATTGGGAAGTTGGTTGTGGAGAAGGGTTATGGGCAGATAGTAGTCTCTATTTAAATGTGGAGCGAATTCCTGTTTACTAAGCCCCGAGCGTTCTAGTTTTGGTCGGTTAATTTCTGGATGTTATTCGAGATGAGAACAGTTACAATTACATTGTTATTGTTCCGTGTGCTTTTTGGAACCCGAACCGAGTGGTGTCTCGGGCTCTTTCAACCTTTTGGTACATTAAGCCATCGCTTTGTTGCGCTTGTAAGAGACTACGACTTGAAATATACTATTCGCAGGTGAGTTTCAGCCTTTCAGTAGAACCTTTGCCTCCTTCCGTGAAACAAAGGTGATCTGAGACTCGCTAGCTCTCGCCCAGGATGAAAACAGTTTCTGTGATAACGCATTGACTGTAATTGAGTGATGAATTGTGACAACTCGAAGTTTGGTTCTCTCGGATAGCGTGACTTGCGGTTCGATCAAAGTCCTTGGTGATGCTAGAAGAACGGTAACTTACAATGCTTTTGTTTTGCTTACCTAAAATCATGGCTTCCTCGAAAGTTTTGAAAGCTCCAGGAGGTTTTGCTAAGCTACAGTACAAGCTCAAACATGTGACGTATCGTTTTTTTTCATGATATATATCGCTCGCTTAGTCACGTTTTAGTATAAAACCTCCAATACGAGCACCATAAGTATTTATACGTTCCTATTCCTCTGGTTTATAGCACAATCAGTCTTAATGCCTCTTTTGCCGCTATCTTTCCCCTTTGCCCGATATGACTCAGCACCTCTATACCAACATTTTCAATATTAATGGTAAGTTCCACTGTTTTTACTGGAAGTCTTGATCTGATGCATTAGTAAAGCCCCTGAGAAAGCCAGGAAATCACCGTATTACTCCTATCAACTGTCAAGAATAATTTACTATTGATAATATCGCCAAGATTGAATCAAAAAAGACTGACTGAAAGTTGTAACTCTCATTGGCGCGTGAAGCGCGGTGGAACAACGACCTTGAACTTCACCTTAGGAAGCTAACAGTTCACTTCGAATTTGCAAACCTCTATGCTGAGACTTCTGAATATTTTCTAAGGACCCTTATATTCAGACATCCCTCCCAACCATTCCTCCTCTTCCCATTCGCATACCCATATTCAAAAAACCCCCACAAAAGCTTGCCTCCAAATCGACCTCACAAAGCAACCATAAACTAGCACCACCAGCCTCATCGCCACCATGAATCTTTGCTCAAAGATCACACCCTGTATCTGGTTCGATGGCCACGCCCACGAAGCCGCCACCTTCTACACCTCCATCTTCCCCAACTCCAAAATGACACACATCCAACACTACACTTCCACAGGCTCCCAAACACACCAGCACCCACCAGGAACCATCATGACCGTTGCCTCCGAGCTAAACGGCCAATCGTTCACCGCCCTGAATGGAGGTCCTCACTTCCAATTCACGCCTGCCGTCTCATTCCAAATCATGTGCGAGGACCAGGCTCAGGTTGATCACTACTGGGAGAAACTTTCAGAGGGGGGACCGATTGAGGCCCAACAGTGTGGGTGGGTGGCTGATAAGTTTGGAGTTTCTTGGCAGGTTGTTCCGAGGGTTTTGTTGGAGATGCTTGCTGATGAGGATGGGGAGAAAGCGGGAAGGGCTACGGAGGTAATGATGGGGATGAAGAAGTTGGATGTTGAGGGGTTGAGGAAGGCTTTTGATGGGGAGGGTGCTTAGGGGTGGGTGGGTTGCATGTGGTTTTCTTTTTTTCTTGATTCGACTCGCTTGGGATGGGATATTCGTATTCACGGGGATTTTTTCAGCATGTATTTGGGTACCAGGTTACGATAGCATTCTCCGAATGAAGGTTGTTTCCAATGAAGCAAGAGTGCATGACAACGTCGCGTAAAACTGAAGTGTTTCAAGTATGCTCATTTTGCTTTGCTCAACCTACCTTCTGTCTTCCAAGACTCTAATCTAGGAAAGTCGAAGTACCGTATCTCTCAAGAATAAACACTGACAAAACCATTGTTATATAGATGCTGGTCTCTTAACCTAGGTAGCTTGATACAAACCTCGCCATTACAACTCCAATGGCCCTTTAGAGGAGGTATAATAAATAGTGAATACGCGTAGATCACCACCACCCACCAATGTACGGAGTGATACCTGGGAACCTAAGAAGTGAATAGACAAACAAAGATTTGTTGCACATCGCGGTTCTGAACCAACTCTGAGTGTCTAGCTATAGCGAGCCAATAAAAAGACCCACCCGATGTCCGCAATTCAATCAACGCAAGCAGGAATATACAAATGTTCAACCCAGTATTTCCCTCTACCGAGTCTCTGGGTATTTGTTAACGCCAGTTCGAGTTCCATTTCCCTTGCCGATTTGGATGTTGTAAATAGAAACGAAGAGCAGGTGAAAGGGATTTCCAATCCATATATTAGGTCCCAGATCGGATTAGAAGGAACCAAAGTCAAGATATACTACAAGATATCCAGATAAGCCGAATCTCGAAACAAGATATTACGTAAAAGGTGAACAATCATCTAGCATCCAGATGAAGTCTCGAACTCCAACCCTGTTTTAGTTTTCACATCTCTCTCACCAGGTATTCAAACGCGCTCTTACACCAATGACCAGCCCTGCAACGGGGATCCTAGTGATATAAACAGGCGATTCTCCAAGATATAATATAGCAAGGAGTGAATGGTTTACTACGAGTGAATAGAGAAATGAATATATTTATTGCACATCGCAGTTCCATCCGACCGCTCGAGTTCATGGCGCTAAGCGAAAAAAATAATATTTCGAGTTTGGAGGTGGAACTGAGTATATCCACCTATCGACTTGGACACGGAATTTTGGCTTACTGCAACAACTAGTTACAACGAAGATGGATGAAAATATCTAGCTAACAAATCTTATGATAACCATCTACGTCCAAGCTAGAACACCAGAGAATGCGAGGAGCCCTAATTGTATAACACATCCAAAAGATCGTTGCTTCTAGACCGATTCATTTCTCGTAAGATCAAGGAAGATGGTGAATTTATTATATATCATTTGAATGACTAGTTTTTTAAGGCTGCCTGGCACCAGATCTCACACCTAGTGTACTCTCTATTCAGGGGATGTATATAGATAGGGTTCCACCCTAAGATCTTCCGTACTGCAATTGTTGCTATCATTCCAAAGCCAAATAAGAAGGATAAGTCGTCTCCTCGAGCATACCGACCAATCTCTCTGCTCTCGGTCCTAGGAAAGGGGCTTGAAAGGCTTCTAGCGAAGAGAGCTTCCTGGATAGCGATTAAGCACTCTGTTCTAGGGCCGAACCAGTTCGGAGCCCTCCCTCTAAGAGCTGCTACAGACCTTACTACCTGCCTTACCTTTGACATTGAGAGGGCACTGATAGACAAACAGGAGGCCTCCCTCCTTACGCTAGATATTAAGGGCGCCTTCGACGCAGTACTTCCTGGCCGCCTGATCAAGAGGTTGAGAGAGCAAGGATGGCCGCATAGCTTTGTAGCATGGGTCACCTCCTTCCTGACTAATAGATCTGTTAAAGTAAAGCTAGACGGAAAAATAGGAGTATCTACCCCTCTTCAATGTAGCCTGCCCCAGGGCTCGCCTATCTCACCTATCCTCTTCATGCTCTACATCCAGCCACTTTTTACCTTAGGGGTGGGCTCTTTCCCAGTGTTACAAAGGTTCGGCTATGCCGACGACATTGGATTACTTGCTTTTGGGCCTACTAAGGCAGGGAATATGAAGGTCCTCGCAAAACAGGTAGCTAGTGCATTAGAGTGGGGTACAGACGAGGGTATCACCTTTGACGCAGAGAAGTCTGAACTCATCCACTTTTCTCGTAAGAGAAAGCAAAAAGGGAGGGGCATCCGCCTTCCGCCTTCTATTATAGTGGGGAGCAGAACAATAGAGCCAAACCAAGAGCTTCGTTGGCTTGGCATCTTCTTTGACCCTCGTCTTACTTTCTACAACCATGTTAAAAGGATAACAAGTAAGGCTACGCTAGTAGCTAATGCTCTAAAAGGGACAACAAACACAATAAGAGGGTCTCCCTCCTACCTGCTAAAACAAGCGACTACCGCTTGTATTCTATTAATCGCCTACTTTGGAAGCGAAACATGATTCCCTGGACGAGTAAGAGCCAAAGAAGGAGGGACTACAAACAACCGAATTGGCCGTCACCTGACTCTCCTAGACCGAGTAGTAGCTAAGTGTGCTAGGATTATCCTCCCAGTATACAAGACTACTCCTATCTCAGTTCTCCTCATGGAATCTGGCCTTCTAGCCCCTGAAATTGCCCTTGTAGCAAGAAGTAAAGCACTAGAAGCCAGGATCCGGCGGCTAGACCCTGCCCACCCGCTTAATCGATGTGTGAATAGCCCTAGCCCTAAGGCTAGGCTTATCTATCGCTCTTATAGAGCCCTCTCTCCCTCTGAAGAGATTGACCCAATACAAGACGCTCCGTGGGACAGGGGGTTCAACCGACAGGCCCGCCTTATTGAAGTAGCAGGACCTGACCCTGGTGGAGACAAGAGCTCTTTTAAGGCCAAATTCCTTGAATTCCTAGCTGTGGTTCCTTCTACTGATCTAGTAGTATTCACTGACGGCTCTCGCTTAGACGACAAGAGCACTGGCGGGGGTGTCTGTCTAACAAGAGGAGGGGCTATTCTCAACACTAAGATCTTCTCCTTTGGCAGGGTGCTAGAGATATATGATGCAGAGGCTAGAGCTGCTCTACATGGCCTAGAACTAGCCCTGGACTCCCCTTTCTGGTCGTCGGCCAGAAAGTGCTGGATTTGCCTCGACAACCTCGAAGCTACCCTACAGCTGACCTACCGATCCTGCGGCACCTCGCAAGAAACCTTCAACAAGGTCAACGAATTAGCTCAATTGTACCCTGGGAAAATACAGACAAGGTGGTGCCCTAGCCACATAGGGATCCTTGGCAATGAGATTGCAGATAAAGTTGTAGGGAGAGTAGTACGGTTACCCTCTCCTGAACCCTCCCCTTTACTCTGTACAGCCACGCTTAAGAGAGAGGTAAAGGAGACAGGGATTGCGCTTGCGAAGAAGCTCTGGGGCACGACACTTCCAGCTCTCTATAAGGACCTAGGGCTCTACACCTGGTCCTCAAAGCCTAAATCTCTCCAGTTACCTAGAGAGGTCCTCGATCGCTTAATTGCTGCTCGTTCTGGACATGGAGACTTTACGGCTTACCATCTTCGCTACTTTCACTTCGACTCGCTACTTGAGTTAGGGAATTGTAAGTGTAAGAAGGCTAAGACCCAGTTCCACCTACTCTTCTGCAAGCTAGCAAACAACAAAGACCCTAAGCTTTTAGCTAAGGCCAAGAAGAACCCCCAGCTGCTCTTTGGACATCACTGCGAGAAGCTTTTTAGCCTGGTCTACTTTAAGACCGAATTCTACACCAAAATCTGTCTCTAGTTAGACGCGCCTCCTTTTCTTTCCCTTCTCGTTTAATTATATATTTCCTTTCTGCAAGCTAGCAAACAACAAAGACCCTAAGCTTTTAGCTAAGGCCAAGAAGAACCCCCAGCTGCTCTTTGGACATCACTCCGAGAAGCTTTTTAGCCTGGTCTACTTTAAGACCGAATTCTACACCAAAATCTGTCTCTAGTTAGACGCGCCTCCTTTTCTTTCCCTTCTCGTTTAATTATATATTTCCTTTACTTTAAGACCGAATTCTACACCAAAATCTGTCTCTAGTTAGACGCGCCTCCTTTTCTTTCCCTTCTCGTTTAATTATATATTTCCTTGTCTTACCCTGGTTCTAAAACTAATTAAGGATAACCGAAAGTGGAACTTCTCTTTAAATTGTCTCTTGTAAATTAGCTCATTCGTTTACACCCCCTGTAGCCTAGGGCACCCCCATAGCGTCATTTGCCCTATTTTGGGACTCTTCTAGGACCTAGCCCACGCGAGCTAGAATCCGCCTGACGTTAAATAGTAATAAATAAAATTAATCATCATGTTGATGCTCTCGTTTTCTTAGTAAAAAATGGTTGAGACCAGAGTGATTTGAACACTCATGCCAGCTGGGTAAGAGCGGTTGGCGGACGTATCGGACCATCCACCCCAAATACGGAAGTGATATACGAAGTATGTGGAGTAAATACCTAGATACCATTGCTTATTTTTACTAAGTTTAGGCAATTTTTATGCATAAAACGCTAGAAACTACCTAGTCTTAGCACAAAGGTTGTATAAATCTATTAAAACCTGGTGGATTATATCCACCTATATTCGTTCCGTATTTGGGGAGGATTGTCCGATGCGTCCGCCCTCTTTTTCACTAATCTTTGTGGACCAAGACAATGCCGAGCGTGAAGATCTTACCACTTCATAATTAATTCTTCTCAGGCGTAACAAACTCTAAAATTTAGTGGAGCATTTACCTTGAATTTCACTGAAAACCCCCTGGAATTTACCTCGTAATGTTTGCTATAGTAATCCAGGGACAAAGTATAGCGTGCTTAAGACGGCTCTTGTCTATATACCGAGTCAGCATATCGTTTGCCAAGGTATGAAAATAGTTGTCTCATGAATATATAAGGACCTCGACTGTCCTCTACTTCTTGTTCATCCACCATACCAAGTATCTATCTCTCAAACCATCCTGAGTCTCTACTACACATTATTCCAACATGCAATTTTCCACCATTTTCTTGACCATGGGCCTCCTGTCCATCACCATGGCACAATCAGGCGATGTCACAAAAACATTACCTGGCGTTTTCCCAGCAGACTGCCCTGGAACAAGAAAGCCGTGCAAAGATCTTTGTGCTCCACTTGTGAGTAATCCCCTTTTTTCTTTCCCGCCATGAAGAAGTTACCTACTACTAGTTTCGTAGAAAGACATTGGTGGGACATGCTACGAAGGCGTGATGGGTTCAAGTTTGACTGTAGATGCAATGAGAAGAACACTTATGGATCATAATGATCGCTTTTTCGGTCTCTTGAGTTGTGAATCTTTTGGGCGCACTTTGCGTCCTATTGCTCGCAGTCTGGCTCAGGATGAACGTATATTTGTATATAGGGATAATGTTTAGGCCAAGAACTGTCAGGATTACTTGCTAGAAGCCTCAAATATACAAGCTTTTCGGTATCAATCCTATCTTTGTAATGAATTGAGATGATAGAAAGCCTCCTTTTTGTCACAATATATGCTATATTATACATGTCACGCAACATCTCTCTTTCATAAATTGCACTCAGCCACGGGAGAAGGTTCGATGTTACAATCTAGTATGAGTGAGAGTTCCTAAAAGTCCTATGTTAAAAGAAGCAGCTCTTTTTAAGAGTACCACGATAATATGGTCATCAGAAGAAGGAAAAATGTGAAGCGGCTTCCACGGTCATCACTAAATACAATAAATCAAGTCCTACTACTCCATTCGAAACACATCATTCAACAAATCAACCATGAGATGGATGGTATCCCGTCCTTGCTGCAATGCTTCATCCATCGCCAGAAATGGATGAGGCATTCCCTTCATAATTTCCAACTTCACATTGACCTCATTTTCCCTCAATCTTTCTGCATATCTCATGCCTTCATCTCTCAAGACATCCAGCTCTCCGACTACAACCAGAGCCCTTGGTAGCCTTGACCACCTATTTTTCATATCATCAGCATCATCGCCGTATAATAGGGGACTGGCTTCCGGTTCGGCCCATGCCCCCTCATCTGGAAGATAATGATTTTGAAACCACGTCATCTTCTGAGCTGGTAGTGCGGGCGTCATTTCATTTTCTAGCCAGGAAGCATTATTGTGTATTGAGGCCGTATTATCCGTCACCGGGACGATCAGAAGTTGTGCTTTGAAAGAGGGTAGAGGTTTTTCGGGGTGCAAAGCATTGTAAGTGAGAAGTCGATGTGTCATTACAGCTGTTAAATTTCCACCAGCTGATGAGCCACCGATTGCTACCATAGATGGATTTAGATTGAATCTCTGGATACTGGTAGTGAGAAAATAAAACGTCGCTTCCCAGGAATCATGAACGGCGGCTGGATATGGATTCTCGGGAGCCAAACTGTGACTTGTTCAGCAAAGCAGATCAAGTATCCCATTTACCGATTTGTGCTGCTCATGAGATGTGATACATACCGATAATCCACGGTAACAACCACACATCTACTTCTCACACACAAATTCGTACAAACCGTGTTCTCCGTCTCTTTATTGCCTAAAACCCACCCACCACCATGAAAATATATCATCAATGGCCATCCTTCATGCGGAGCGACTCCCTCAGGGGTAAAAACCCTACAATCAACATCTGGGCCCTCACTACTTTCTCTTCCAATCAAAATATCCTCTTTGTTGCCCACTTCCAACAGTTTCCCTCCGCCTGGTATCAAAACCCCGCTTGCTCTGGACGCCGAAACAGGTTGCAAGTGGACGGGTTGAGTATTGAGTATATGTTTGTTGTAGAATGTGGCATACACTGGATCGTGTTTATCTTTGATAGAGGGATGAAGAGGGTATGGTGGTAGGGTTAGATTTGAGGTATCTGTTACAGAACCCATTTTGAGATAACGAGTCTCGCGGATACGCCACTTCAGTTTTGTATTATCTTTCAAAGATAACAAGAATGAGGCTGAGGCTATGCTTTTTAATATTCTGGTTGGACCTTGGAGAACACCGGGCTTGTTAAAGATGGAGTGCAATTTCAGATAGAAAGCGTGGTCATTGAAATCAATTAAAGCATTATCAACTCCATCCAGAAGACGTTGAGTATCGTAGATAAACAGGATATGAGGTACCGGCACTCTTTACCCGGCATGGCATGACCCTAAACTTTCACCAAAGCTAACCTATCTCATGAGACATCTCTCACCCAACCAATCTCAGGTATTCACCAAACTCATTCTGTACTACTTATGTAACCTCCGAGATAATATATCCGACATTCGTCATTCTTTACCAAAAGTGCTCCAAAGTGATAGAGATAACGGGGAACCTTCTTAAGCCTGAAAGATGTGTCTTGAATGGGTAACAAACACTATTCCGACTACACCATGTAACGTTATTCACGAACTAAGGCATTTGGTGTGCTTGACTTTGGATGTCGAAACAGGGATCATGATTGGTGGGTAGATTCTGGCTGAAAGGGTATTTCCGGTGGATAAGAAAAGTGGGAGAGATTCGATTCTTTCTATGAGCGAAGTTAGTTCCAAGAATGTCTAGAATTTCTAAAATAACTGCCTTTGATGTTCTATCGCTTTCGGTTAGTTGTTTCGAACTGTCAAAATAAACAAAATAATAAGGCGGTTTCAAGTTATTTCAGGCTAGATGAAAAGAATGCTCTGCAACATTTCTCGTCTACTGGAGCCTGGCTGAACGGGGAAAAGGGGGTTCGCTTAGATGTTTATGCTGGTGCCCCAATGTGGGGTTTGAAGTTTGGAAATTCAGAGTCCTAAATTGCGGATTCACTCTGGTAAATTTGTGTACTATCTGACACTCTCAAGCTTTTGGTGTCCTCCAATATCGGGTTGGATTCACGGAAATACTCCAAAGTGGGGTGATGCAGGATCAGCTAATCAAGCATCATCTTGTTAGGGCGGCACAACGCAATACAAACAACACGCGGCTAAGTTACCTAAGTCAGTTATACACAGAAAAAATGGTCACTTGGATAGAAAAGGACCTTCCTCTTTTACATCCTACGCCAGCACCATGACGAGCACTACCGTATCCCTCCACCCTTTCCACACACCCATCTTCCATGCCCAAACATGGAGTGGAGAATCACCACTATATCGAGAATCAGATAATACACTTCATTGGGTAGATCCTCTTTCCGTGCCTCCGGAACTTCACAATCTCTCCCTTTCTACATCGTCGTCTTCAAAGGATCCCGCGGAAAGAGTATTGACTCTCGAAACACCCGTCAGTGTAATACGCTTCTGCAAGGAGAAGCAATATGAGGGAAAGTATATTTGTGGGTATTTGAAGGGAGTTGGGATTTTGGACGAAATAAGTGGAAAGCTGGAGAAAGTCAAGGAAATCATCGATGGGGACGAGAGGAGAGTCAATGATGGTACGTATTTTGCTAATCTGTTGCCTCTTGCTGTCTGGAATGAGGTGAACGAATAACCCACAGGCGCGTACTAATCTACTACAGGAGGTATTGACGCCAAGGGGAGATTTTGATTTGGTGAGATAGACCTAAATGTTAGTTTGATTGCTATGCGCAAGCCGAAATTGTGGTACTGACTGTAGATAGGCAACGAAATTTGGCATCGGTGGCCCACCTGAATCTTATGGAAAACCAAAGGGTCATGTCTGGCGGTATGATCCTGATGGGAGCCTACATGGAATGGATTCCGGGATCATCTTAGGAAATGGACTCGGTTGGAGTCCCGATAAAAAAACCAGTTTGTTGCCTTCATTGCTATTTTCGAGTCTCTATTGCTGGCTTGAATCTTTGAAGAGGTACTAGGGTGTATTGAAGTGTATTTCAACGACTCCCTTGTGCAAACAACTTACGCCTATGATTTCGATCTCGAAAATGGATTTGTTTCAAATAGGAGGGTGTTTGCTAGTTTCAAAGGAACGGACGGAGAGCCAGATGGTTTAATTGTTGAGTAATGCTGCCTTTCCTTACTACAAAAAACAAATCTCATTGAATCTTTATAGTGTACAAGGCAATATCTGGATAGCAGTCTACGGTTCCGAAAGCTATCACGGATTAAGTATGTTTTTCCTTTGAAGTTTCCCCATGACTCCATCTTTCAGTTGCCACTTAGTTTCCCTATCCTCCGGTACACTTTTGCTAATTGATATCTCCAAAGTTATATTTGATCCCTTGGGGGTAAAGAAATACCAAATTCCTTCAAGCGCAAAAGCTACCACGTGTCCAACTTTCGGTGGGAAAGGCCTTGATGAAGTATTTGTTACGAGTGCAAGAGGAAGCGATTTTGTAGATGGAGGTGATGGCGGTAAGTTGTTTCGATGCAAGATTCCTGAGGAATGAGGAATCAAGGGAATGACGACTGAGGCATTTAGAGGGACGCTTTAACGGCGTGGTCACGGAGATAATGGGGGATTAGCTCGTAGAATATGACCTTGATGATCAAAAAGCCTACTTTTGCTTGTGTATCCATCATGTTTTATTAAGCCTCCAATGTCGATCATATACGTCGACAAAAAGTTTCTTCGAATTCCATCAATCCCGCTTAACCAAACGATAGCAGCTAGAATTTCAACTACTCCCCTCTCCTCCCAGGAGGCCTGCCCCTCTGGTGGCAGAGATATATCCGTTAAAAGATCACGTGAAAAAAAATTCACGCCCCCTTTCCGACCTTACACGACCGCTCCACCACCAAGGCCGCTACTATGGCGACCCAAACACAGTCAAACCCGGAATGGCAACAAGAAGTCATAGAAGGAACATCCTACGAACCCATGCAACTCTTCAACGAGCCCACGCTCCCCACCAGCCCAATTTACCCAATTATCACCCTGGGAACTCCAATCCCCCAAACACCTAGCGCCAATGGCCAAGACTACCTCCTAGGAGGCTATGCGCCATCCAGCCCAGTTAACCACATCCAAAGAAACCAAAACAACCCTAGCTTTATAGACATTAGCACGCCAAACAACTCCCAAAGAATCAGAGAAACCCAGCCTCAAGCCAAAAGACAAAGAAGCAACCAATCCTTGAACTTAACCTCAAAATACGCCCTCATGTCCCACCCAGAAACCTCCGATGACGCAATTATAGCATCTAGGTCCCTTCTGTGTAAGGCGATTGAGCTTGAAGACAACCAGCCCAAGAAACTCGCTCTCATGGACCTACTCAACCTCTTCCGGGACTATACCGAGGGAAAACCACTCAAAAACACAATTACCACCCTTACCAACTCAGTCAACAACCTAGAGAACATCGCAAGGCGCCTTCCTAAAAGAAGCTACGCATCGGTAACCACAAACAACAAACCTACCACAGACACAGACACAGACAACAGTACTCAAGGCCTCATAGACCGGCAACTCAACCACGCTCCTCCTCAAAAAACAAACATGGACAAGAAGAGAGACGCTTTTAAAAAAGCTGCTACTGAGAAAAAGAAAGCCATTAAAGCCCAGCGTCTCATTCTCATCGAAGACCACCTTCAACCATTTAGCGACTTACAACCAATTACCCTCAGAGACACTATTAACAAGGAATTCAAAGCTCGTTTTAATGTCAGCCCCGCAATTAGCACAGTCTCCAGATCACGAAACAACAACCTTGTCCTTACAGCAGCAGAAGAATACAATGCTAAATTCCTGCTTGACAGAATCGGAGCTATCCAAAAGGTACTTAAATTCAAAGAGGCAAGAGTCGACGCTATCAAATACCAAGTAGTAATCCACGGCATCCCAATTAAAGAATTCAACTCTCTCGCTGGCCTAGCACAACTCAAAGATGAGATCCTCACTTTTAATAAGAGCCTCAACCTAGAAATCGACGACATCCCTCACTGGCTTACCTCAAAAGATAAACGAGATAGCGGCCTACAACACCAAGGATCAATCGTTGTAGCTTTCAAGGAAGAAAGCCAAGCAAACAGAGCACAAAGAAACAGACATAACCTTGCAGGAATCAGCGCTAGAGTTGAGCACCTCCGGAACACGTCGAGGAGAATGCAGTGTACTAGATGCCAGGAAGACGGGCACCCTCTTAAATACTGTAAAAACCCTCCAAAGTGTAAATTCTGCTCCCAACAACACCAAAGCTCGCAACACAAATGTCGTCAGTGCGAAGCTCAAGGCGGAGCCTGCGTAACACACTACCACCGATGCTATCACAGAATCCCAATGATAGAAAGTCCGATCAAAATCATCTCTTTTAATGCTAACACTACATCAGAAGCCATGGAAAACGCACTAGAAATAGCTGTCCAAGTCAAAGCAGACATTGTACTCTTCCAAGAACCATGGTTTCACAACGCACGAAACAGACAAAATTATACAGCTGTCACCTCAACAGCACATGGCAGTTTTACGCAAATTCTCCCAAACCACTTGCCCAGCAAAAGGCCTCGAACAATTACCTATATCGCAAAAACCTTCAAACACTCAGTCAGCCTCTCAAGAGAGTCACCCAGCGACACCGATATCCAGTTTATCGACATTACTGAAGGAGAAGAATCAATACAAGTAGTCAACAT